GCACATTGTAAGTACATGTCAACTATCATTATTATGAACAACAATCACTGCTGCCAGGAGTCTCAAATCCCACCTGATTAAAACAAGTAGCATTTAGGGCGGCTGGTAGCTCCGGTGGTTAGAGAGTGGTGCTCATAACACCAAGGTTACCAGTTTGATTCCCACATGAGCCAGTGAGCTGTGCACTCCATAACTATATAGATTGGAAACAATGACTTGATTTGGAGCTCAGCTGTGCCCTCCACAACTAGACTGAACACAATGGCTTGACTTGAAGCTGATGTATCCTGGAAAAACACAGTTCCCCAATAAAGTTTAAAAAAAAAAAGAAATAAAACAAGTAGCATTTAGTGACTAAAGTGAACCTCAGACAATACTTGAGAACGGGGTAGTAGCTATTTTCACTATTTTGCAAATAGAATAAATAACAAATCCATGCACAAAAAGGTGGTTTTCAAAAACAAAGAAAAACTAGAGTGAGCGGCTGGTAGCTGGTGGGAGCTACCAGGAACTGCTGTGAGTGGTTGACCAACAACCGGCGACCGATTGCCTCACCCGGGAAGAGCACAATGATCATACCAACATGGGCCAGTGAAGCGACATCCTCCACAACTAGACTGAAGAATAAAAAACCCCAGCAATTTGTCTACCTGTCTGTTCCCCTTCCCCGATTCCCCAATGCTGTTACCCGCCCAATTCCCCAATAAAATCTTAAAAAAAAAAAAAAGAAAAACGAAAAACTGAGAAAAGTGCCAGGACTTACCATCCATGCTGTCTAGGGAGCAGTGGTGACAAAGAACTTTGGAGGAGGATCAGGAGCCCAGGAGACAGCAATAATGCAGAATCTCAGCTGTGTGAAATCACCATTAGAAAAGTCACCCTTGATGCTCTCACTCTCACGTTGCTTATCCAACAAATCCAGAATCCTACAAATCCTAGGGGCGCTAACTGTAGAATTTATCCAGAACCTGACCATTTCTCACCCCCACTGCCAATACCATTTCCCTGCTAGTATGGAAGCAGTCCCCCTTTTCTTGTCTTCGAACTATGGTTATAGAAACTTGGGTGAGGTACGGGGTTTGTGTGATACTAGACCACATGGATGAGACAAACGATGAAAAGTATTACTGTGCTATCGGGGAATCTGCTGGATTGTAAGTTCCTTGAGGATTAAGGAGGAAACTGTCTTGTTTATTTCTATAACCAACCACCCTTTCTGCCCAAACAAACCCATGCACTTTCCTCATCCTCACATCTAGGGCCAACCAACAAGTGCTATGAGTTCCATCTCCATATTATTATTCAAATCTTCCACTTCTCCCCAACTTTACCACCAAAAGCCTACCTAGTCCAGGCCACCATCAATCTTTCAATCGGACTACTGCATTTACTTCCTGTATTGGTCTCGTTGGCTCTCTGTAATGTATTCTCCATACAACTGCCACAGCAATCTTTTCTTTCCCTAGTAATCTTTTAGGAACATACATCTGATCATCGTTTTCATTTAATAAAAATTCTTTAATGATTTTCCATTGCTCTTAGAACAAACGTTTCAAAGCCTATGAGGCAATGGATACTCTCTTGCCTACTTCTACTTCCTCATCTTTTCTGTGCATCCACTCCACTAGACTCTAACCACGCTCCAAATATGTTCCGCCAAGACGAGCCGCCTGCATTCAACTTCCTGGACACACGAAGTGCTCTCAGACCTCAGGCTCTTTTGAAAGTTCTTCCCTAGCTCCTTCTCATCCTTCAGTCTCCGCCTAACTGTCCGTTTTTCTAAGCCTTTCCAGACCACCCTCTCTATCTGGCTAGGCCCCCACGGACACCCTCTCATCTCACCCTTTTCATTCCGCTATCCCGTACTTGCTTGTTATCTGTTATCCTCTTTAGATTGCAAGCTTCACCGGGAGGGCAGAAGTACTGTGTGTTTGGAGGCTCGTACATCGCACGTATTCAATAATTAGTAGTAAATCATGACTTATAAAAAAAATGAATGAATAAAAGAAGTCCTAAGGGCATGCATTTGACAAGCGTTTTAAAATGTTACTTTCAAAAAGAAAACAAAAAAGAGGTCCCTTAAATAGAGTAAACGGTACCTCACGATGAATTTCAGAAGCGCCCTGCAACTCCTTAGCCCTCGGACCCTCCGGCTGCAATAGCCTGGCGCTCGCCCGAGGAAACCCCCGCTTCCCGTCTCGCCCACCGGAGCGCCCGCGGATTCCGCGCCTCTCGCTCTCTAACCTCTCCCCAGCCGCCCAAGGGCCACCCACGCACCCAGACCCCACGTCTTACCCGGCTCAGCACCCCTTCGATTTCTTCAACCAGACGCGCCAAAATTCCAACTTGACTCCACCTCACCTCTGACGTCAGACGCACGCCGGCTTGGCGTCGCGCTGATTGGCTACGTCAGAGCTTAAGAGCGGAATCGACCTGTGGGAGAAGGCGCAATACGCTCCTTGAGTAGAGCAACCTGATTGGTTCACGTGACTGGGCGCCCTGTTTGTTGGGGCAAGGGAACTTCCGGTCGGCGAATCTTTAGGCTCCTTTAGGTAAAATAAAAGTGTACTGGTGCCCTCCAGCGCCGCGAAGTGTAAGTATTTCTGTGTGGTATTTTTTACACGAGGTCAGAACTCAATTCCTAACACTCTCCGGGACTATGTAATCCAATCCTGAGCCTTATTTTCTTTTACCTTAGGTATAACATGTTGAACAAAGACTTGGTCTATATTTTAGGAATTTACTGTCTAATTTGGGAGCTATGACATATGCATAATATAAGGTAACTACTAAGAGCGCCAGTTTTGCTGGAGAGGAGATAACAGGAGACGAGGTGGAAACATAAAAATAAGTAGGTAAAACGAATTGTGTGGAAGACGATGGATTCGAGGGCAAGAACTTCTGTAAGCAGTGAAGAGACCGTGTTTGAACAGCTGGGAGAGGAAGGCAGGTGTATAGAGGAAAGGCGTCGCCAAGTGCTTAGACTCTGGAGTTAATTAAGACTGCACGATTTTTAACTGCCACATAGTAACTGCAGCCTTTGGTAAGTAACTTGCCTAACCTCTCAGTGCCTCAACTTACCTGAAAAATGGACAGTAATAGTTACTTCATAAAGCATTGTGAGGATTGATGAGAAACACTTGAAAATATTCATAGTGAGCCCAGCACACGTAAGCATTAAATGTGTGTAACTTATATCCTTACTACTTTATAAGGCATTGCTTAAGCTAACACAGATAGGTGCTCAGGAACTGAATATATCATAAACTGGAGGCAGAGAAGCTCAGTAGAAAATTACGATAGTCCCAGACTGTAAGAGTTGAAGGGAAGGGACAAATGGGGGAATATATTATGAAGGAAAACCTATCTGCTTTGGTAACTGCCCAAAGAAAAGTTATCTTTGGCAGGAAAAGGAGAAGACAATGGCCAGGTTGGCAATACCTGGGAGACTGGCAGAATTACAGAAATGGATTAGAAGTCTAAAGGAGGAGCTTGTTTTGGACAGAGGAGAGATGATGAGTTCAGGCTGAGGGAGATTTCAGCAGGTACCTTTAGAATTGTGATTGAAGATGGGGACGTATCAGGGATTCAAGTGTAGGTTTAGCGAATGCAGTTGAGTTCTCTGAAGAAAAGGCTGTAAAAGCAGAATATTTGAGTATATTTACCTGGTTAATGCCCCAGATGCCTAAGTCAATTCTTCCACCCCTTAGCCCCAGCAGGAAGCAATGCTATTCAACATCAGAAAACCAGACCTACTAGGGGAAATAGTGGGTTTCCACAGCTCCCTCCACCCACCCCACTCCACACACACTGTAGACATCTGTTTACATCTGGCTTTACACCTTCCATGCTCTATGGTGCAGAACTCTCTAGAGCAGCCGTTTTCGACCTTTCACAGGGGTCACCTTAAGACCATTGGAAAACACATATTTTTGATGGTCTTAGGAACCGAGACAACACTCCTCTATCTGTCTCCAGGCCCACATGCAGATACGCCCACATACGAGTACCCGTGGACCCCTGTGAAAGGGTCGTTCGACCCCCAAAGGGGTCATGACCCACACACAGGTTGAGAACCGCTGCTCTAGAGCCTTATCCCAAACTTGCAATTTTTTCAACTACTGGACAAGGACCCTGTACTAAGAAAAATGTTATCCTCGCTCAGAGGCAACCCTCTACTTAGAGATCAATGGCCCTTCTAAGAGGAAAACCCAAGCTCCTTGATTTTCATAATAGAATATTATCTTTGCTGCCCAAATAAATGTCTATTTTAAACCAATCTAAAGGTCGAAACAGCAATTATGTTCCTCCATCTAGTTACCTCAACTGGTGTTTTCCGAAGGAAAGCCAATAAGAAACGCTAGTGTTGGTGGTTTCAATGAATTCACTGAGAATGTTCAACACATTCCTTCTTGGTTTTGCTGGGTTAATAACTACAATATATATTTTATATATGTGAAATAACTACCCGTGATCATGGCTCCATACTACATTTAAAGAACAAAATTGCTACATAAACCTGTCAGCTAATTCAGAGTTCCTGAATCAATACTTTTTGTATTCTACTTCACATCTTTGTAATTACTTAGCTAGAAAAAAATACTTAAATTACTCAGCAATGACTAAATTTTCATAGCAAGAGTACATAATATTTCAATAAATAAAGGACAAACTGTGTAAGTCAAAGGGTGTCCAAGAAGATTGTTAAATTATCTCTACTTCTTATTTGCCTTCCATAGCGAAGCAATTTGGGTACCTTTTGTTGTTGCACTAAAATATTTGAATATTGGTTCATATACTTGATTCCTCTTTCACTTAAAAGCTGCAACTAGCTGTTATATCAGCTTTCCTCTTTTGAATTAATAATGGCATAATAAATTTGATATTTCATTAAAAGTCAATTCCAAGTTAGCACTTTCATGATGGGTCAAATGGAATTGTTAGCCAATCTTCACAAGAATATGGTGCACACAATGCATTTTATGTGTCTTCATATTAAATAATATAGTTCAGTTATTTTTCTCATTTTTTAGAAAATAATACTTTATTTTTTAGAGCAGTTGTAGGATTACAGAAAAATTCAGTTAAAGAACACAGAGTTCTCATATAGCCCCTTCTACACACAATTTCCCGTATTATAATATCTTGCATTAGTATGGGACATTTGTTACAATTGATGAGCCAATATTGATACACTGTTATTAACTAAAGTCCATAGTTTACATTAGGGTTCACTCTTTATGTTATACATTCAATGGGTTTTGACAGATGTATCCACCATAACAGTATCATGCAGAATAGTTTCACTGTCCTAAAAATTCTCTGTGCTCTTACCTATTCTTCCCTCCTTCCCCTCAAACTCCTGGCAATCACTGATCCTTTTATTATATCCATAGTTTTGCCTTTTCCTGAATGTCATATAGTTGGAATCATACAGTATGTAGCCTTTTCAGATTAGCTTTTTTCACTTACCAATATGCATTTAAGGTTCCTCCATGTATTTTTGTGGTTTGATAGCTCATTCCTTTTTAGCATTGAATAATATTCCATTGTTTGAATGTACCAGTTTGTTTATCCATTTACCTATTGAAGGGCATCTTGGTTGCTTCCAAATTTTGGCAATTATGAATAAAGCTATTATAAACATTTATGTGCAGGTTTTGTGTGGACATTAATTTTCAATGCATTTGAGTAAATGCCAAGAATTGCATGCTTAGTTTTGCAAGAAACTGCCAAACTGTCTTCCAAAGTACTATTTTGCATTTCCACCAGCAATAGAGTCCCTGTTGTTCCATATCCTTGCCAGCATTTGGTGTTATTGTTTTAGAGTTTAGCCGTTTAATAAGTACATGGTGGTATCTCATTTTAATTTGCAATTCCCTAATGACATGATGTTGAGCATTTTTTCCCATGCTTATTTGCCATCTGTATATTTTTTATGGTGAGGTACCTGTTATCTTTTGCCCATTTTTACTGATTTTCTTTATTGATTTCCTGGTTTCAATTTAATGACTTCTCTAATTTTTATTATTTCTTTTCTTATTATTTTGTATTTAATGTGCCATTCTTTTCCTAGTTTCTTAAAGTGGAAGCTTAGATTACTGATTTTAGATCTAAGTTCTTTTCTATGTATGCATTCAGTGCTATAGGTTTCTTGCTAAGCAGTGCTTTTGATTCATCCCCAAAATTTTGATGTTATATTATCTCTTGAGACTTCTTCTTTAAGTCGCGCACTATTTACAAGTGTGTTGTTTAATCTCCAAGTATACTGAGGGTTCCTGGATATCAGAATTGTGACCAGCTTAGTATTTTTACTTGAACAAAGTAAAAGAATATTCCCCAAAACTTAAATGTAAAACCATTTGGTTTGCTTTTCCATTTAGGATAGTATAGAAATCTATTTTGTCCAGTACAGAATAGTAAGGGGAAAAAAATTAAACAAGAAGCCATGAACAGGAAATTTAAATTAAAATTTCCACAGTTAATGTTAGAAATGCCTTAAACAAACATTCTCCCTGTGGGGAAGTCGGGGAATCTTTGAATTTGTACCATGTGTTTTCTTGGCATGAAGCTATATTTTATTCCTGTTTGATTCCATGTGTGTATTAAAACAAGTTTGTCTAGGAGAGTTCTTATGACAAAGCCAAACAGGAGATTTTTTTTTTTTTTTTAGCTGAGCCATCCTGCCACCTCTTGGCAGCTCAGCGGCAGCTTAACTCAGGCTGGGACTCGAACAGCTGTTGCCCAGAGCTTACACTCTTGAGCAAGCTCTTAACCAACTGAGCCACTCGGCTGGCCCCCCCAGAGGAGATATTTTAATTTCCTCTTAAATGTTTTAGGATCTAGATACATAAGGTTATTGTTTATTTTTATGGCTGATCCAGTATTAGCTAATCTCAGTAAACTATAGGTTTATAAAAAATGGCATATCCTATCTTTTCACCTCCTTGGAAAGAACAATTTGTAATTTAAACAGCACATACTGGTCTCTAGTAAAGGGATTTGCTCACAGTCATAGAATTAACAAAACAAATCTTAATTAAGTAATAAACTTATATGAAGCTGAATCCAGAAATGCATCCTATGAAATTAGCCAGTCACATATGAACAGTGTGAAAGATTCATAAGCAAAATTTTATTTTGCAATAATGGTTTTTGTGATCATGAATATATAGCCTAATCCAGGAAGAAAATAAACAACTGTACTTTTTAGAAATGAATAAACTCTCTATTGTACAAGCTCACATACCTACAGCACAATGAAAGAACAAAGATAACTTTTTTGTACTCTGAATGGTTATGTCAAATCCAGTGAACCTGATTTATCTACTTCATGTATGCCACATTTTTTTCC